GACCAGAGAGTACAACACAGACACAATGACATATGGTCACTGGCATTATTGGATGAGAGCAAAGAAATATAGCCAAATAACTGTTCCATAGTACAGTGAAACCACAGAGATGTGGAAGCCACATGTGGACAAGGTTTTGTAGATCCCTTCGATTAAGGGTCTTCTCAGGATGGTGTCCCCAATGTGGGATAAGAGAACAAAATATCAAAATGGCACAGTTTTGACTATCAATTCTATGCTGAGGATAACTAGCTGATCTGACCTAGACAGCTTAAGTAGAGAAGTCACAGAAGAAGCGGGGGCGGGGGGAGGGGGCTTAATCACAAGTTTTCTGCATTTGTTTGTAATATTTTTCTATTTCCAAATCAGAATCTAATTTTGGTATTAAAGGAATAAATCTATGTCAAGATCATAAAATATCTAGTGACATGTCTTACAATACACCCAAAAGTTTTTCCCCACTAATAAAATTCTTTCATTCAACCAATTCACTCAACATTTTCAATTTTCCAACATTCTTTCTTTAAGAATTTTTCTGTAATGCAGAAAAAATATGTACAGTCTCTTTCAAATTCTACATCCTGTATTCCCTTATCTCAAAGCATATCATTTTTATTCAAGTCATCAGAACACTAGGAACAATAAAGAATTCTTTGTAAGTGCCTGTCTAGCATCAACCAAAAAACCTCTTAATCTCCTCTTGGTTCCTAATTCAGTTTGTATGCCACTGATTTTTCACTAATGTTTTTCTTGTCATATTTCTAACACTTTTATCTGATCATTCCTCCATCTTTCTGTGTTGAGTCAGTTGGTCATAGACTTATCCATGTGAACAATCACAAAATAATATGTAAAGAGAACATGATGATATGTTTACCAAAAATTAGAATCAATATTCTACACATAGATTAATTTAATCACAATTTTTTTTATTTTTTTTTTAAATAAAGTGATTCTTTTATTCATTTCTCCATTTGAAAATGAACAAAATGTTCTTTGGTTGGTAAAGAGAACATGACACTCATAATGCACTATCTTCAAAATAGACTCTACTCTCATGTATAACTAAAAAGAATAAATAAAACAATTAAAAAAGAATAAGAATAGATTCTCAAGAACATCAGAGAGCTTTCTGAAAGTTACTCTACATCAATCAGAGGAACAAAAGCTCAGAGTCATGGGCTTGTAGTTTGGGGGGTTCTTTTGGATAGTGAGGCTGACATATAAGAAAGAAAACCGCATACCAATAGAGCATATACTAGTATATACGTTCTCACTCAACTTTAGTCCACATAAACACTCACCAAGCAAGAGTGATAACAATATTGGGAGCTGAAGGGTTTGAAGGGTCATGGAGCAAATTATTTAAAAATCTAGAAATGTATAAATTCATACAGTCCCTAAATGGGAGAGGGGATTATCATTTGTATTTTTTTGATGATTGCTATTCTAGCTATTCTAGCTAAAGAGAGATTAAAATCTCAATGTAAATTTGATTTCAATTTCCCTGATTTTTAGAAATGTTAAACATTTTTTTCATTTATTTTTTGGCCATTTGTATTTCTTCTTTTGAAAAATGCCTGTTTAGTTCTTTTGCCCATTTACTGACTGCATTATTTGGGGATTTTTTGTTTTTGTTTTTTTGGTGTTAAGTTTTTTTTAATATATATTCTGGATATTAATATCCTACTGGAGGATTACCTGGCAAAGATAATCTCCCATTCTCTAGGCTCCCCCTTTGTGCTCTGGTTTCCTTTGCTGTGCAGAAGCTTTTAAATTTGATTCTGTCCCACTTACTAATTCTTGGTTTTATTTCTTGAGCTTTAGGGGTTTTGTTAAGAGAGTTGGTGTTATTATTAGTCAGGGTTCTCTATAGGAACAGAATCAATAGGAAGTATAATTATAAAAAGGAGATTTATCAGGTTGGCTTACATGACCAGTTAGCTGGATAGTCAACAATGGCTGTCTGCAGGCTGGAGAGCTGGAAGAATCAGTAGCTGCACAGTCCAAGAGACTGAAACCCAAGAACAAGAGGGACCAACAGTGCTACCTTAGTCTGAGACTGAAGGCTTCTGGAGAATCACTGGTAGATTCTGCTTTGGAAGAGTGAGTAAGTGAGAGTCCTATATCCTCAGACAATTGCAGCAGCAATCAAGAACCCATTCACCAAGAACTGAGCTTCCATCTTCTGCTGCTTCCTTATTCTTTCAACTTTTATTCCATTCAAGCCATCATCCTATTGGACAGTGTTGCCCATATTTAGGGAGGGTCTCCATTTCAGTTGGCTATTCCACATGCCAATCATTCCTAGACACACCCTCATTGACACACCCATAAGCCTCCTGATCTCTTGTATCTATTAATCCAATCAAGTTTGACATTTCAAATTAAATATTACAATGCATATGCCAATATGTGGAAATGTTGAGTCTGTTTTCCTCTAGCAGTTGCAGAGTTTCTGCTCTAATTCCCATGTCTTTGATCCAATTTGAGTTGACTTTTGTGTAGGTTGAAAGATTGGAATCTAGTTTCATCCACTACATATGGATAACCAATATTCCCAGCACCTTTTGTTAAAAAAAAAATCTTTTCTCCAACGTATGTTTTTGGATCTTTGTTCAGTATCAGATAACTGTAACTATGTGGGTCAGTTAAAACTGTAATTATGTGGGTAGCTGTCTTCTCTTAGTCTTCATGTCTGTTTTGGTGCCAATACCACGCTGTTTTGGTTATTATAGCTCTGTAGTATAATTTGAGAGCAAGTATTGTGATGCCTCCAGCATCTTCTTCTTGATCAGTATTGTATTGACTATTCTGTGTCTTTTATTCTTTTATTTTTATTATTATTATTATTATTTGTTCAAAACATTACAAAGCTCTTGACATATCATATTTCATACCTTTGATTCAAATGGATTATGAACTCCCATTTTTACCCCATATACAGATTGCAGAATCACATCGGTTACACATCCACTTTTTTACATACTGCCATGGGTCTTTTATTCTTCCAAATGAATTTTAGGACTGCTTTTTCTATTTGTGAAAAATGCCATTGGTATTTTGAATCTGTATAAAACTTTTGATAGTATGTCATTTTGAAAATATTAATTCTGTCTATTCAAGAACATGGGAGATCTATCCATTTTATAAGGTCTTCTTCAATTTCTTTCTTCACTGTTATACAGAAGTTTTTCATGTCTTTGGTTAGAGTAATTTCAAATTATTTTATTTTTTGAGATTATTATGAATGGAATAGTTTTCCCAATTTATTTTCAGTAGATTGATTATTGGAGTACAGGAAAGCAATTGATTTATCTATGTGTATCTTATATCCCCTTTCTTTGTTCAATTTGTTCATTAGCTCTAGAAGTCTTCAGGTGGAGTTTTTTGTGTCTTTTATTCTTCTAGATATAGGATGATACTAGCAGCAAGCAGACAATTTGAGCTCCTAGTTTCCTATTTATATCTCTTTAATTTCCTTCTCTTTCCTGATTGTTCTAGCTAGAGTTTCAAGAACCATGTTTAATAGGAGAGATGAGAGTGGACATCCTTGTCTTGTTTTTTGTTTTTAGAGGAAATGTGTTCTATTTTTTTTTCCATTCACTATGATGTTGGCCTTGAGTTTGTCATATATTGCCTTTACAATGTTGAGGTAAATTCCTTCTATTCCTCCAATCTGATCTCTACTCAGTAAACTATAAATTACTTAAATTTGTCAGTCATTTCTTTGCTGAAATTTTTTCTTGGGTGTACTATTGCCCTGAGAATACAATTGAAACTTTCCATTATGTCAGAAAATGCTTATATACTCTAGATCTTCAATAATTCACAAACCCATATCCTTCCCAGGCTGCCCATGGTCTTGAATTTTCTCTATTCCTCAAATGCCCTAGCCATGTGCTCTCCAAACATTGCAGTGCCCATTTTTATAATCTTCTTGTGACAGAAAATCTTTTAAAGAACATGTAAAAATAGACATCATCATCATTGTAGTTTTCCACAATTTGACCCTCCATCAAAATCATGACTATAGATTCTGATTCTATTTCTATGAATTTATCCTACAGACACATATGCTATCTTACAAAATGACATTTAATAACATTATTTATTGCAACACTATTGGAAATAGAAAAAAATATTATAAACAACCTTTATTGCCATTTTCATTGTGATAGGCTGATGGTTAATCACATGGTAATGAGGGACATAACTGAAAGTATAATTCATCTCAGGTAATAGATCACATTAACAGTATTCTTAATATAGTGAGATTACAAGTATTGTGAATTTAAAAATATAATTTGAATCACATTGAGGAAAGGGGTACCTTAATATAAACTTTCATTCACCCCAAACATGTGATATGTCTCATAGTGAGACATCTTTGCAGCTCTCAAACACAGAAATTTTGTGATTAAATCAATCTATGTGTAGAATATTGAGAGGACCTATAAGCATTGATCTGATTTTTGTTATTATCGTAAGTCAAGAGGTTGTTGAAATTAGATTCAGTGCATGACAAACCATCACTAAAATGATCAAAGTTCTGCAAGCCATGTGATTGTTTTCATTTGCTTAGTAGTTCTCTGTGTTACATATTATTCCTGAAATATGAGACATTCAGGCTTAGAGAATATTTAGTGCATTTTTCCACATTTTTATTGATGTATTACAGTTGTCCATACAGTAGGATTTGTTGTTACATTTTCATAAGTGCACAAAATTTAACATTATAATATGGTTAATATCATTCCCCAGTATTTCCCATCCCCTTAGGTTTAGTGACTTTTAAGTATCTTCTCATTTCCAATCCGATGATATTCTAAATCAGTTAATAGGGACCAGAAACATTTATTCATGAACTCACTTCTTCCATAATCCAACCAAGGGGGTCAACAGTGAAGATTATTCCATAGGAAGGTAGTTCATATGGTTATTAGGGGTACAACCCATCTCTCTGAAACATGTTCAGGTTAGATCATAACTCTCTGGTCTCAGGATTCATGTTTCCATTCTCTATTTGCCTGGGAACCAGGCTGGAAGTTTCCTGAGATCCAGAGTTTCCTAAAAAGTCTTCTCAGAGCTCCTTTAACTTCCTGGTTTCTGAGGCTGTAGATTAGTGGATTTAGCATAGGGGTGACCACTGTGTAGAAGATGGCAACCTGACGATCCTGATCCAAGTCATAGCTGGAGGACGGCCGGAGGTACATGCGGATCACAGAGCCATACAAGAGCAACACAACCAAAATGTGGGAGCTACAGGTTGACAGAGCTTTGCGCAGGGCAGCAACTGAGTGCATGTGGGCTATGGCAATGCCAATGCGGGCATAGGAACCCAAAATAAAGAAGAAGGGGCTGACCACAACAGCTACACCCTCTGTGAATATTAGCATTTCATTGACCACTGGTCGAGTGCAGGAGAGCTGCAGCAGGGGAGTTATGTCACAGAAGAAGTGGGTGACCTGGTTGCCACAGAAGGTTAAGTGTGTGACTAACACACTGTAAAGAAGACTGTTAAGGCTGACAATCACCCAGGAGGTCAATGTTATGCGCAGACAGAGGCAATGGCTGACAATGGCAGAGTATCTTAAGGGGTCACAGATGGCAACACAGCGGTCATATGCCATCGCAGCCAGCAAGTGGCCTTCCATGCTGCCCACAGCCATAAAGAAGAACAGCTGGGTCATACAGCAATTGTAGGAAATGATTCGATTCGTGGATAGTGTGTGCACAAGCATCTGAGGAACAGTGATGGTTGTCAGAAATATGTCAATAAAGGAAAGCTGGCTGAGAAGGAAATACATGGGGGTATGAAGTTTGGGATCTGAGCAAGCAACAGTTACTAGAAGGGCATTGCCCATAACTGCAACCAGGTACATGGCAAGGACTATTCCAAAAATAACTGGCTGCATTTCTGGCCTGCTGGACAAGCCCAATAAGACAAATTCAGTCACTTCTGTCCTATTTTTAGTGGCCATAAAATATGGTTTACATCACCTGCAAAGACGGAGGATCAGAGTTGGAAAGGGATGAGAATGATGTCAAGACTCAACCAGATCTCAAAGTCTCTACCCTTCAATGGGCCATTGCAGTGAAGATCTATCTGGTCCTAACTTTGGATGTCAAGAAACTGAATTTTTTCAGTTGTATGTGATATGGACTTTCACTGGTCATTTATTCATATATGAATATAGGAAAATTATGTCCAATTCATTCTACTGTCTTTCTTATTCCTATCCCTCTCCCTTCCCTTCATTCCCCTTTGTCTAATCCAATATACTTTTATTCTTCCCTCTCCCTCCCTTTCAAGTAGGTATAATATGTCAAAATAGACTCTACTGTTATGTATATCTAAAAATAACAAATAATTTTTTTTTAAAAAAAAAGAAACTCAATTTTGTTCTTTCAGTATGGATTTTTCTATTCCGTTAAGTCAACTAAAACTTATCTGTGATGAAAGTAGAAGTGATTAATCATAGACTTTATTAATTATTAATTTTCAATGAAAAATCAAACCTGTCAATGAATGGGATTCTCATGCCTTTTTGATTGGTTTTCCCCACAGGCAAATCAGGAAAGTAAAACAAAGAGAGAAACTTTGGTGTTGCTATACAAGTAATTTTGATGAAAATTTATATAAATGTAATAAAAATAATTTTAAAATAGTATGGTATAAGTTTGGGAAAATATAAGATATGTGTAGCAATTTTACATTATTTGATAATATTATTTCTTTCAATTTTTGTCAGATTCATCTTTGAGTCTTTCCATAATAGAAATTAATGATCACTTTGTTGAATGTCAAATTAAGTACTTATAATATATTAAATTTTTCTATAATGCAATTTTGAGGAACCTCAAAACAACTTTTGCTTTTACATGTAGAAATGTGTTAAAGCCAAATATTTGGCACAATATAAAATAATAAGAAACATTTCTGTTTTCTTTGTTAGATGGAGACTGCTTCTTGTTTTGCTAATGTTAGATTTTTAGCTGTAACATCACTGACTGAGCTAAACAAACAAATCATCTTTGAATACATAGAGAAGAAAACAACTCAACTAAAAATGGGAAAAGGATCTGAAGACATTTATCCAAGGAACATGTTAAAACTTTATATGTTAAACATATAAACCATTACTGTAACATCTCACCTAGACCACCTCTATCTCTAACACTTCAGAAGTTTCAAGATTGAGAGTAGTCTTACATCATTAAGACATAATAAAGAACAAATTCCTAAAATCACAACTGTGAGGTCATCTGATTATACAAATTATTCATTTCTGTGCAAAATCTGAAGCATATTTACCTCTATTCTCCCAGGTTGATCTTCACAGTCACCTATCAGGACTTAATTCCTTTTCAAGAAACAGACACCAAGATGTACTTATAAACTCCAATAACCTCAGTACTACAGCAAATGCAAGATGAAATATCCTTTTGCTCTGGTTCAGGACAACAGGGAAGGAGGTCACAGGAAAGAAAACAAATCAAAATGTTAGAACTGACTCGTTAAGTTTTGTGATGGTGCCATCTCTATTTTTATATAAACATGCTGGTATAAATCAAGGTCAATAAATCAGTAACTATAGTATTTTGAATTTATCTAGACTTTCAATTATCACCATATTAACAACCAAAATAATTAGATCAAGCACACAGGAAAAGGTAATATTAAACCCACTTTGATAGGGTTGGTTTCTTGACATATTAACTCTTTTTTTTTTTTTTTTTTTTTTTAGAAAAGGGATAGTGCATCTCAGTGTGCTTACAAGCTAGGAGATTACTTCAAATTCTGTATTTCTTTATGGCATTTGCCAGTAAATGGATGGAACTGGAGAGTATCATGCTAAGTGAAATAAACCAATCCTGTAAAACAAAAGGCCTAATGTTCTCTTGGATATGCAGATGCTGACTCACAATACTCAGGTTGGGGGTTGGGGGGTAGTTAAAGTTCACCAGATAACACAAGGAGGAATGGGTGGAATAGAGGGAGGATGGGAACAGGAAAGACAGTAGAATGATTCGGACATAACTTTCCTATGTTCATATATGAATACACAATCAGTGTAACTCCACATCATGTACAACCACAAAAATGGGAAGTTATACTCCATGTATGTATGATATGTCAAAATACATTCTACTGTCATGTATAACTAAAAAGAAAAAATAAAAAAATCTTTTTTTAATTCTGCATTTCCTAACTGGGAAAAAAAGGAGGTAGCACTTATAGTTTATAAATAAACTGGTTTTCAAGCATAGAGCCAGAGCCAATGATAATAACACACCATTTAAAATGGCCATTTAAATTTTTTAATTAAATTTAAAATTTCTTGAGAAATGTAGATAAAATAGCATTCAAAGAGCAAAGTGTTCTCAATAAGTAATAATAATAATAATAATAATAATAATAATTAATAAAATGGCCTAAGGCAATGAATTTCATTTCCAATGGAAAAAAAACAACTGTGCAAACAAGCTTAAAATTACTTTTTATGTGTCCGCAGTATAAAATGTAATTTATAATAAAATCTTAACCCAAATACCAATAACTTTTAAAAAAAAATGGTGGAGGGGAGAAGGTTTTTTTTCATTTAGGGGAAAAAAAATTTTTTCCTAATCTTCAATACACAATTTAAACATACAGCTACTGTAATATTTTATCAATTCCTATGTACTAGAGCAACAACAAGCTCTAAATACAATTACATTTATAAACAATGGGTCAAAGATTTACTTTAAAATACATCCTACTTTCCCTTACCCTTAAATTTCTAAAAATCACATACTTTCCTCAACATCTGCAGCCATCTAGGAATGTTTAGAAAACTTGTTCATGATCTTAATTCCTAATCCCTGGCTCACTGGGCTCAATGACAGAGATCAAAACCACCAAAAATTATGGCTCACTTGAGGTCAGAGGAGAGACCCTAGTTCAATGAGTCTTCTCGGGTGAAAGCAGGGCTGCATCAACTGGCTCCATGCAGGAGGGACAGAGGACCTCATCAACGGGTATCTGTAAGGTCCAAGTAATGGAAGTTTATGCACCAGCAGAAATCTAATTGGTCCCCATGAACAAGTCCTCAAACAGATCCCACACTCTGGCATCTTTTTTCTGGTCCATCTCCTCCAGTGTTATGAACTCCTTTAGGCACAGGCTGTACAAGTCGTGATCTTTGAGCTAGCCTACTGTCCTAATCTGTTCCGCTCCAGTCAGCTGAGTTGCTAGCTGAGTGTAGGTTAGATGGTAGACTAGATCTGGAATGTTACTGATATGGTATTGGTGCTTCCTGGTCCAGCTCTATTACCTCACTGAAGCTGACTGAGAGTCCTAAGGCAGGGAGATGTCACCTGAGGCTGGGATTTGAGGTAGTTCCCCATCTACCAGGGATATGGTATATATCTGTGCACTGTGCTGGCAATCTTCTCATTTCCCCAATTTCTGATGATTATTTTAGTTCTTTAATTCCTGGCTTTCATCCACTTTTTCTTTATATATATTTAAGAAACTATCAAATAATGTAATCATGGGCATAAATCTTTCTCAGACTTTTCCTGTCTAAAGTTCTTTTCATTTTACACTTATTTATAATAACCATTGGTTCTTATTTCCTATTCAAGGTTGATGATGATAAGTCTGCTGCCAGTCTGACTCCTATTCCTTGTCTGGGTTTCCACCTGGTAATTTTTTAGGATTTTAATTCCTCTCATCCCTAAACTTTATAAAGATGGTGCTGCTTGTAGGTGTTTTTTATGAATTCTGTGATGCATTTAGGAGATCTTTTGAACATGAAGATATGTGCCCCTCTTCAACTCTGAGATCTTTTTTGTGCAGTTGCTTTAACTTTCTACCTAGGACTTTTTAAATCTCTTTCTGTTTATTAATCTTTATTAATCTTTTTTCTTCATGTTTTCTCTTTGTCTTTATAGCCTATGCCCCAGATTATAACCATAGTAATCCATCATCAATATTTCTTTCATACTTACAATTGTGTTTCACTCATATCCATGAGCTCTTTATCATTTTGTGTGTTTCCTTACAGGAGTATTCTATTCTTGTTTTGTGGGTGCATTTCTCTGAAAAAAAAATACATTTTTATGTTATCCTTTGTATCTTGCATGACTGAAATTTATTCTGGAATCAAATTTTTCTTTTATTCATACTGTATTTCTCTTTGATGCTGCTGATTTGCCATTTTTGGTGCACTGGAGTAGCTTGTTAGGTAGTAAGTGCCGATTCCTCATGGAATTGTATTTGCATATATGAGCCTATATTAGTGTCTACCAGAAATAAGAAAACTTAATACCTTGTGAGGAGTTTATCCTTTTGCTATTTATCCCAAATATAAATGAGAACTTTCCTTTAAGATATAATGGCCAATTTGTTAGCCCTAACTCTTTCTCATTCCAGAGAAGAATCTTCAAGTTTTCTTTGGGATAAAATGCAGGCTACCATGATCTGAGTCTTAAGTTAGGGGAAGAGAGAAGGACATTTATAGAATGGCTGGCTTAGTTGTATTGTAGTGTTCATTTTGGTTACCACCCCATGTTTCTCACCCTTTCCCCATCCTCCATCTTACTCTTTTCTTGAACTGGTTCCCTCTGGGCCTTGGATTGCTGCCAGGAAGATCAGCCCTCTCCTCTACTGAAATCCATTCCCTGTATTCTAAGCAATTTTTATCTTATTACTACTTTATTTCTGTCTCTTGGAAACTCACTGAAATATCACATCTGCTAATGATTCCCCTTCCTATTACTATTATGAAACTTTCCCTTTGTTGTTATTTTATTGCTATCTCTAGAGAGTTGGAAGAACAAAAATATATGATAAATCCAACACTCCTAGCTCTAAAATTCTAAGATGCCTCACCTCCACAGTAGGAAATAAGTCACAAAAAGGAGTAGATATTCAAGTCTACTAGTAAGGGACATTTCCCCTGAATAGTGCTGACGACTCTAAAACATGGTTGCC